GTGCCGCCCAGCGCCCGCGCGCAAACAGAAAGCGAAGCGGGGCGGGGGAGCAGGGCAAGAAAGAGAGGCTCGCAGGAGGAAAGGGAAGGAGGGGAGGAACGCGCTGCAACGCACCACCGCGCGGTCCGCGCTGCATCTGGAGCGCAGCGCGGGCCAACCCGCCGCAAACGAGGCCTGGCGGGCGAGCCGCTGCCAACTGCAGCGCGCCCCGACTACCACGAACGACCAGCCAAATCCGCGCGGCAACGGAGAGACGGAGGAACAGCAGAGAACGCATGGGGAAAAGGAAGACCCGAACAACGAACTGAAACAGGCCAAAGGAAAAAAGGAGAAGAAACATCGGAAAAAGGGACAGACTGCACAGGTCAGATCCTGGCCCGCGTGCACGTGACGCCCTTGTCGCGAAGGCTCGGGGCACGGCGACGGGGGCGACGCCTGCGCGTGGACTGTGGCGCGCGCGCGGGGCGCGGGAGCTGCATGCGCCAGATGGACCGCAGGAGCTGCGCGAGACGCAAGGGCCGCATAATCCACATGGGCCGTGCGATCCGCATGGGATGGGGGGGCGGGGGGCCGCGCCGGACTTGCGAGGCCGCATGGGCCGCGCGAAGCGCGCGGGCGCCCCCTGCAAAGGGCCAGGGGGAGACGCGCGGGCAGCGCGAAACGCGCGGGCCGCGGGCGATATATGAAGGGCATGGCCGCTCGCGCTGCCCAGGCTGCAAGGAGTGCGCGGTCCGCGTGGCAATTGATCTTACGCGCCGCCAGGCAGACCCTGCACGAGCATCGCAGGATTGGTAAACACCTCAGGCCCAAAGAGCACCGCGTCGCGCGCCCACTCGGGGAACCGGCCCCCGCTGCCAGGCATTCGGGCAAGAGCCGCGCCGACCAAACCAACCAATCACCCAACCATCAACACACAACAGCATCACTTGAGACGTCCTCACAATGCGGGCACGAAGATTGAAGGAGAGGGCACGCACCTTGCAACTATATTCCGTTGCTCGACAACGACGGGGGCAGAGACCGCGGCGCCCGACCCATCCAACCGCGCAGCCAGAAGACCCGGCGCTGCCGCTTGCGAGCTCCTCGCAACCTGGGCGCGAAAACTCAGGCACTGCGTAACGCGTGCATCCAGGAGCGGTGAATGGCTACTCCAGATTTCGTAATAAAAGGGAGGGGGTCTGGACCCTCCAAGACAAGCCATTTCAGACTCCCCCCGTGGGAGAACCCTCCAAAACATCGTCCCCAGACCCCCCCAGGCCCTCCAAGATAGCCTGGAAGAGACCCCCCCCGAAATGAGACCCCCCGCCCTTTATTGCGAAGTCTGGAGTAGGCGGGGCTGGCGAGGAGGGAGGGGGCAGGGAGCGGACGAACCAAGAAGCGGAGGAGCAGAACAACGACCGGACAGGGGCGCGGCGTCAGGCCCCCCCGCCCCCGCCGGCGGCCGAAGCCGGGCCCGGGCACCTCCCAACTTGGTCTCGGGGCGCGGTCGGCGCGCGCCGCCGCGGGGGAGGCGGGGGGGGGGGGGGAAAGAGGGGGCGCCATCCCATGCCCGTCCGCCGACAGAAAGCGAGGGGGGGGCAGGGCATAAAGGAAGGGCGCGAGGAGGGAGACGGAAGGAAGGCGCTGCAACGCACCAGGGCGCGGCTGCAGCACAGTGCTTGGAGCAGCGACAGATGTGCCTGGAACGCAGCGCAATCGACCCGCCGCCAACGGCGCCAAAAAGACGAAACGTTGCTAACTTCAGCGCGCCCCGAACCCAAATGGCCAGCCAAATCCGCGCGGCATCATCAAGGCGGAGGAACCAAAGAGAGCCAAGCGGGAAAAGGAAGACCCGAACAACGAGCGTGAGAGCGCAGGAGAGAGGGGGGAGGAATCTACTCAGATGGGCGTGGACTCCACATGTACGCGGAGGTAGAGCCTCTCAAGAGCGAAATGCTGCACATGCGACGACAGGAAAATGCTTCGTTACGGGAGATCGCCATCTATGCATCGGTCAGCTCCTCCTCCGCCCCCTTCTCCTCCTCCTGATCCACGCTATTTTTCATTGGCCAGGTAACGCGTAAGTTTCTCTGTGATTCCTGTATACGAACGTCGGGAAGTGAACGGGCACGTAAGAAACTAGATGAGCCAAGACATCCTCGCACTATGGACGCGACAACGCCCGTGGTGTACCCACTAGCGCCCCCCCCCCCCCTGCGGTCCCCATATGCCACGCCTGCTACATCACGACGACCACGCAACCCTGAACAATAATAAACACAATCAAATCATAAAAGCCCGAGTTCCGCTTGAGGCATCCCCACAAACTGGGCGCCCTACCCGCTATCACATCGAAGTGATCACACGGCCCTGAAAAGAGACACGTCTTCCTCTCAATAACCAGCATTCCGCGTGAGATATCCCCACAGTCTGGGCACTGACGCGCATGTGTCCTGCCCCCTGGCGGCTAACCAATGTAGAGCCCAGTCAGTATGTTTATGAAGGAGCCCTGGGACACACAAATAAATACACACAAATAAAATGGCTCCCCATATTTTCTCATATGTTCTGGGTTTTTGTCTTCCCCCCCACTTCCCATATTTTCCCATATTTTCTGGGAATCGACGATTAATTGTGTCTGTGTGTTTTTTCCCCTCCTGAGTTTACTATGTCGTCATGGCGCCTGCGCGGCCCTGAAGAGAGACGCGTCGACATTCCAAAACAAACGGTTCGATTGGCACATACCCACAATCTGGGCGCGAACGCACCGGTAATGCACCACCCGGCGCATCCCCCCTGTGGTGCCCAAAACTGATGACTGCTACACCGCGATTGCTCCGGCCTGAAAACACATGCTTACCTTCCGAAAGCCACCTGTTCGCAGGGGACGTCCCCACAAGCTGGGCACCAACGGGCAAGTGTCCGACCCTCTGGCGCCCTCCCTCCCTCTCTGGGGTACCGAAGTATTCGCTTTCTTCGTGGCGGCCCTGAACAAAAACACGCCCACCTCAAAAAGACAGCGTCTCTCGTGAGATATCCCCGAATGCTGAAGAAAAAAGGGGCAAGTGTCCTACCCCGTGGTCGCTCCCCCTTGTGGCGTCCAAGACCTATGATTGCGACATTGCGAACACCACGCGGCCCTGAAAAAGACGCACCTACATCCGTAAAACAAGCGAACCGCTGGAGACATCCCCAATCTGGGCACGAACTGGTAAGTGACCTATCCCCTGGCGGCACCCCCCTGTGTTGCCCAAATGCTGTGCCTGTTGCATCGCAATGATTCTGATCGAGATGGAGAAGGAGGGATGAGGAGGGAGTTAAAAGACGGAGGCGCGACACGGATAACAAGAATTCACGACGTAGAAGATGGGAATAAGCTCCGCAACATCCTCCGCGAGACGTGCAACCACCTGCACAATGATCGATTATGACCGTCGGACCCTTGCTCCGCACGCGTTCGACGGAAACTGGCGGCAATCAAACTGCCCCCATCTGCTGGCACATCGCTTCGATTTTGACTTTCGCCAAACGTGCGTTTGATTCGTCCACGTCGTCCAGCCCCCCATCTAAACCAAAACACGCCGGGTTCTGCTGAGACATCCTCTCGATTCGCTCTTAAACTGGCCACGACGTTCAGGTGACGCTGGCGGTGTGCTGCCCGCGCCGAGGCGAGAACGCCGTCTGGACGGACGTTCGGCCATTGTTCGGAAGTTCGGCCCGCATAGTACCTGCTACAGCAAGGAACGCTGAACATGTGACGACGGGGTATTTCAAACCTGCAACGAGCCCCGGCCACGAAGACGGTCCCCGACCTACCTCTACGGAGCGGCACGAAGGCCAGAGCGTCTCCTAAGCCCCAAAAGGGTCCTTTCAACGTATTGGCTGATCCCGAGGCCTCATCCAGTCCCTCTTGTCCCCGTTCGTTCCCCTGGAGCACCCATAACCCTCCACTCTCCTCGGAGCACCCATAACCCTCCACTCTCCTTGGCCCTTGCTTCCCCCGCTCCCTCCCCTCTTCCCCTCCCCCCCCGTCCCCATCATATCTTATAGTTCGTCACAACCATGTCTTGCACATGCGTCCACGTGTCCCCCTCTTCCCCCGCCGCCCTCGATCCAGATCCTCACTGTGCGGGGGGAAAGAGGGGGGAAGGGGGGTCGGCCGGGCACAGCCTGGTGGCGGACGCCTGTGCTGCCTGGCCTGACTCGTCGCACGCCACCCCGCGCACGGCGGTCGCGGGCCTCCCTCCTCTGGAGAAGGTGGGCCATCTCGCGCTCTCCTCCCGCGGGTGCCCCCTGGGGGAGAGGAGGTCGAAACTGCAACCAAACGCCGCCCGGGCCGCCCATGGGGCCCGCCCTGGGGTGCGCTCCGTCGGATCCCCTCGGCTCCGTTCCTGGACGAGAGCGTTCCGCTACGCGCAAAGCAGCTAGTCGCAAATGGCCTGGATCCATTGCGTCGAAGCAGAGAGGCTCCATTGTATCGAACATCGCATGTTTGTGTAGGGGTCGCTTGCGAAAAGGCACTCCGCGAGTAGTGGAACGTGCTCGGCGAGTTCCCGAGCACTCGCTCGCGCGGCGCCGTGGTCGGAAGAAGCGGCGGAGGAGGCCGGGGGAATGGAGGGCGGGGGTGGAGAGACTCCAGCCGAGGCCTGGAGCACCTGCCGTGGATAGAGACTCAAGCCGAGTCCTCCTGGCAGAGAGGAGGGGCGGTGCTCGTCCTTCCCTCCTCCTCATCCTCCCTCTCCTCCTCCTCCTCGTCCTCCCTCCTCGTCCTCCTCCTTTTTCTCCTCCTCCTCCTGGTCCTTCCTCCTCGTCCTCCTCCTTCTCCTCCTCCTCCTCCTCCTCCTCCTCCTCCTCCTCCTCCCATCTCCTCCTCCTCCTCCTCCTCCTTCTTCCTCCCTCCTCCTCCTCCTCCTCCTCCTCCTCTTCCCTCCCTCCTCCCACCCGCCTCCATCCCTCTGGCCCGCACCCTCGCGCCACCCTCCCCCCCTCCCGGTCGGGGGGGGGGGGCGGAAAGAGCATGCCTGAAGATCTCCACGCTCTGGCGCCTGGGGGGCGCCGTCCGGCCGCGGTCGGGGCCACAATCGGAGCATGCCGCCCTCCTCCGCCTCCTCCTCCTCCTCCTCCTCCTCCTCTGCCTCCTCCTCCTCCTCCTCGTCTTCCTCCCTCCTCTCCTCCTGCTCCTCCTCCTCCTCCTCCTCCTCTGCCGCCTCCTCCTCCTCCTCCTCCTCCCTCCTCCTCCTCCTCTTCCTCCTCCTCCTCCTCCTCCTCTGCTCCTCCGCCTCCTCCTCCGCCTCCGCCTCCTCCGTCTCCTCCTCCTCCTCCTTCTCCTCCTTCTCCTCCTCCTCCTCTTCCCTTTCTTATGCTCCTCGTCCTGCCCCTTCTGCGCTGTAGCTATCCCGGCCCAGGCGATGTGGACTCAGCGCCCATGCACGTGAGAAAAGAGAAGCAGCGCGATACATGCAGCAGCTGCAGGCGTGTTGGGGGAAAAAGGCCAGCGGCATGGTGAAGACGAATGGCCTGCAAGGGTACAGAAACATTGCGCTAGCTCCTCAACCTCCTCCTCCTCCTCCTCCTCCTCCACCCCTATTATTCAAACCATGGCTCCTCCCTCTCGCACCACTAGGCGTGTCCGCAGGTCGCCCTGGGCGTGTCGTTTGAGACTTCCTCGCAGAGTACGCCCCAGACGCCTTCAACTCCTCACATTTACACGGATAAAGTCCAGGACATGTTCAAAATGAGGCTCTCACCTGGGTGCACATTCTGAAATACTTGCACGGGTGGTGGATGGATCCCCTTCACTATGGAGTTCTCGCCTTAACGCCACACAATCGTCCCAGAATATTTTCAGCTTGCAACCGACGTCAAGGATGCAGGGCTGCTCCTTTTCAAGCTGGGGCTATCGTTCGATGCTTTCCCAAATCTGGACATATGGGATGTAGTATACTCCTGCGCGATCGATTCCTGATGTAAGGCATCACAGTCTAACAGCGAGAAGTTGGAGCATGTGTAACAGCGCGGCTCCCTTCCCAAATGAGGTCCTCGCGTGCGACGTCCAACTGCTCCAGCACCAGAAATAAAACACGACGTGCAGATGCTGCACGGATAACGCGCTGTTCCTCTTCAAGAGGGTGCGATTGCTTGGTACCTCGTGGAACTTGATGTAACTTCGACATGTTGCCTCATTGGTGAACAAGATCCCCGTCTGAATGGCTCGCCCATGGAACGCTCGTCTCTCAAGGGGGCGCCGCTTGCGGTGAAGGAAAGGCGTGCAGTTTCATGTGAAGGGGGAGGGCCTTGGGACGGGAGTCCTGCACCATCGCAACTGCACGCTGGGTTTACGGGGCTGGTCCTCCTCCTGCTCCTCGTCCTCCTCCTCCTCCTCCTCCACCTCCTCCTCCTCCTCCTCCTCCTCCTCCTCCCCCACAGAGATCCGATGTCTCACTTTGATACTTTGTTCAACACGTGGTCCGCAGAGGCCCCAACCCGTTCCACAAAGCCTGCCCTGCGTGCGGAGTCGTTACGGGGACTGCCCAGGGGGCCCCGTGAGGGCCCCCAGCAGCCGAGAACGACGAATACCCCATCGCTCCCCCCTCCTCCTCCTGCTCCTCTCCCTCCTCCTCGCTCCCCTCCCCCGCTCGCGCCCTCCCTCCTGATCATGCCGCTCCCCTGCGCCAGCCCGTCGATAGCGAAGACATGTCGGCGCGTAAGTGCGAGGAAGGGGAAGGGGAGAGGGAAGAAGGGGATGAGAGGGAGGACGAGGAAGAAGGGGAAGTCGTAAATCTTTAGTCGCCTGGAAAGCTATCCCTCCTCAGGGGAGCAAGGGGGGGGAAGATCCTTTCCAGCTCTGGACCCCACACCAAGCAATTGTTGGCGGCGGAAGATCAGGTTGAGAAGAACAAGGGAATCAGACTGATACACGATGAATCGATTCTTTCGATGCATGGCCCCCTGGACCCATCGCCCCCCTCTCCAAAGCAAGTGTTGAATCCCGCGCTGTTCTTTGGCGGTCCCGACACACGACACCTCCCTCCAGCCGAAAAAAAACGGCAACGAAGCAGCCGCCTCGATTTTTAAGTGGTGTTGGACATCTGGGAAAGGAGGAGGAGGATTAATATTTTGGCAGGCGAGAGGAGGAGGCGGAATCGGCGGAGAAGCAAGAGAGAGAGAGAGAGAGGGAGGGGGTATGAGCAAGACGCTCGGAGCGCTCTGGCCTTCCGCGAGAGAGAGAGAGAGAAAGAGAGAGACACAAAAAAGGGGCGGATGGGGGTACACGAGAGGTCCTCGTCGTCCTCCTGCTCCCCCTCCTCCGCCTCCTCCCCCTTCTCCTCCTCCTCCTCCTCCTTCTATACATCTGGCAATGCTTATGTTATCCATGCTTACGTTTACCATTCTCTCGCCCACTCCTCCCTCTCACCCAGAGGCCTCCCAACCGGGGTCCACGCAGATGGAATCGGCGGATCATGCCGCATCGCCGATGCATCGCCGATGCATCGGCAATGCACCAGCGAAGTCGGCGATGCATCGGTTCCGTCGGAGCGGAGCCGCATCGCCGATGCATCGGCGATACGGCGCCATCGGCCGACCCGATCTACCCTCACCCAACCTGTCAGGCCTAACCGTTTTCGACGTTTAACGCAGGTAGTGTCACCGATACGACCGACAACAAAACCCGAGCCAGAAACAACGGGCCAGAAGCAACCGAGAAAGACGAAGCGACGCGGCAACGACGCAACAACTTAATTACAGAGCAGAACCGACTGTGAAGCGGCCGAACCGACCGAACCGCGGATACTCCCGATGGCCAAGCTTCCTGACGATGTTGAAGGGGGCCCAAGACACAAAAAAAAATACACACAAATAAAAAGATGCCCCAGCTTTTCCTATATTTTCGGGGTTTCTGTCTTCCCCCCCACTTCCCATAGTTTCCCATATTTCCCGGGGAGTCGACGATTCATGGTGTCTGTGTATTTTTTCCTCTCCTGGAGATGTGAATGTATACATCCGCGCGACCCAGAACGTCTCGACCCCTGCCCTGGGTGCCCTTGTCCGTCCCCGATACATGCTCGATGGCCCGAACGAGGCGGCCCCCCAAAGATCGAACTCGAGGAAGCACGCGCCGCGATTGAGACAATCAGTCCTCCGGAGGCCCCGGGGGGATGTAGGCAGGAGGACGACTTGGACCCTTACATTCGGGCCTCGCAAAACCAAGGGCGGGCGGTGTCCCTATGCTTCGGCAAAGAAAGGCGGCTTGCCGGCCCCGGGACCATGAACTCGGAGCAGGAACACACGAGACAACGCCCGTGAGACAACGCCGGCAAAGTCCTATGAAATCCTGGACCTCTCCCAGGGCCCAAACAAGCAAGTTTTCCTAGCTGCGTCCAGCCGCGGCGACGAGGGCTCCCCCGGAGGACCAAGACGGCGACCCTTGTCTCACCTGGCCCACCCCCGATCAATTCACAACACCCCCAAAAAAAAGCCCCCCCGGGGAACAGGTCGAAATCCCGGGGAGGCCCAGGTCACGCATGGAGGGAAGGGGCCCCGCGGGAGATCGATGCTCGAGGAGGGCGGACAAACGACCAGGGAGGCTTCTGTATTCTGGTGGCTCTGGAGGTTTGGAGGGGGTCCACGTGGAGGGACTCACGTGCCGTCCCCGCCAAATCCGGCGCACCTCTCGCACGCATCGCGTCCCGCAGGGAGTTCCGCGTATGGCCCCAGGGGAGGAGCTCGCATGCTGCCCTCTGCCATTGTCGGCGCATTTTTAGCACATTTCGCATCCCAAATGGAGCTCCACCTTCGGCTCCCGCGGACGAACTCGCACGCATTACCCCGCCGCCCATCTCTGCACACCCCTCACATGTGTCGCGCCCTGCAGGGGGCTCCACCTGCGGCCCCAGGGGGGCCATCCCCTGTCCTCCGCAGGGAGACCAACATATCCGATGTCTTGCTCTTGCTTCAGCACGGGATCCGTGGAAGCCCCGACTCTCTTCCCAGAGCAACCTCTCCATCCCGAGCCGTCTCTTGCCGCCCTGGGGGCCAGCGAAGATCCAGCGAAGGACAAACGAGTCCATGCTCTGCGGTGCGCGGGAGGCCTGGGTGAGACGGCGGATTCCTGGGGAAGAGAGGTCGACATGGATTCGGCGAACATCGCCGATAGATCGGCGATATGCCCCCAACCGCGAATCCGCAAACTACTGGGCGGAGGGCGGGCTGCTATCAGGCCCCCTACCCGCAACGAGTGGGCGATATGGAGTCGATGTGTCCCCACCCCCTGAGCTTGTCCCCCATCACGTTGCCCCTTGGCTTCTCATTCAGCGGCCGTTGGGAACGATCTGTGCTGTCCCCGGAACGCCCTCTGCGAGACGCACCTGCTGGAGCGCACTCCGAGGCTGGCACACGTCCAGGAACACCGATCTTTACCAGCCTCGAACGTATCCCTACCCCTAAGATTGACACGCCAAACGGCGATGACAATCTTAGGGATCCGCCCTCAAAAAATGAGGGAATCCCTAAGATTGGCATCGTGATGAGGAGGTGCCCAGCATAGGGATAGGGATATGTTCCAGGCTGGTAAGCTCTCCCCCTCGCGTGGCCCGCGAGGGGTGGGGCTCGAAGGGGGCGCGCCTGTCCCCGAGCAGCACGGTCAGGTTGAGCTCCCTCTCGCGGGGCACGGGCGGCAGGCCGGCCCAGCCCGGGGGCGAGGCGTGGAACACGAAGCTGGCCGCGGTGCCGCTGCGCACGTGGATCCGCGCCACCTGCGCGGGGGGTCACGCGTCGACGACGACGACTCCAACTCTACAGTCGGGGCGTTGACCGAAGGAACCCTGAATAAGGAAGGAGGCCCCTTCCATCCATAAATTAACCTTCGATTTTCCGACGGATGCCTACGGAAAGCCGAAGGCAAACTGTGAAACGATCAAGGAACGCCGAGCCCCTCCCCAACGAAAACGGTTCCTTCTTCAGCGCCCCGACTGTACAGCGGCGGCGGCGGCGGCGGCGGCGACAGGGACGGCGACGGCGGCGGCCGACGTCAGCGGCGGCGACGTCAGACGACGCTGGCGACGGCAGTGGCGGACGGCCCGCGACGGCGGCGACGGGCGGGCGGCGACGACGACGGAGCCACTCGCTCCACTCTCGATGATCATGAGAGTGCGTGTTGGTGCAAACGTCGGTTCTGCAGCGGGATCGGTCCGCGAGCGTCTGGTGGCCCGCCATTCGGCAACACTGCCGCGTTTGAACAAACATCGCGACGCTAGGGTCTCAAGGACGCCCGCGCCGTGGAGTTCGTGGCTCGCGACCCCGGTGTTTAGATGTTGGTTATAGCGACTCTCCTGGGGTCCATCTGACGGATCTTGCCGATCCATTTCGGATATTCGACTCTAGCTGCAATCAAACTTGACTCAGGGCGGCGGACGTTCCTCGCCGCATCGACGCGTGAGTGTCGATGATCCTTATGTTGCATCCTCGGGGGACCTTGTCTGTCCCGTCGCTGTTGGCTGCAAGATGCCTCGGGCGCCGCGGCCTCCTCAGAGCGTTCCGGGACGCTCTGATCGGGAGCGGCCAAGAGGGGGGTGTCCAAGAGGGGGGGGTGCAAATCATGACCGGCGGCATGTGCGCGGCCCAGCGGGGGGGCCAGGGATGTAATGAAATAAGAAGGGGCGCAATGAAATCTGGGGAGATATCATGCCCCCCGCCATGATACCCACCCGCCCCTAGACATCACCCCCCTCTTTTCTGCCCCCGATCTGACAGCGTTCTGGAACGCCCGGGAACGGAGCTGTCCTCGTCCAGACGTCCCCATATTTTCTGGGTTTGTGCCTTCCCGCCCAATTCCCATATGTTCCCATATTTTCTTTGGGATCGACGATTCATGGTGTCTGTGTGTTTTTGTTTCCCTCCTGACTGAGAGCGCTCTGGAACGCCCGGGAACGGAGCTGCCCTCGCCCAGACGTCCGAGCCAACCTCGAGCGCTCGGCGGCGGCGGTTTCCGGGGCCACCGGCGGCGCTCTCCACCCCGAGAGCGCCCGCGCGGGGCTCGCCGCGGCGTCGACGCGACGCCACGCGACCGACGTGCCCATCTCCACGCCCGCGCGGTCTGGACACCGCGGCGCAAGCCCATGCGAGGGCTTGTTCGGTCGCGGCGATAGGGAGCGCTCGCCGCTCTCGCCGCCCGAGCAGGAGAGCGAGGAACACACAGCAGCACACGAACATGATATCCCGGAGGCCTCCGTGCGAATTGCTCGGATCGGCGCCGGGCCCCACTCCCTGGCTTGAGGAGCGCGCTAGGGGCGGCGCCGGAGGCGCCGCCAGACGGGGCCCCAAGGCCAACCCAAGAAATCCGCACGAAACTCGCAGAAAAACCGTGCCGACGCAAATCCGTGCTGTTCGATGGGCGGACACTGCCGGGCGAACTGCGCTTCGCGCGGCGCGGGGCAAAGGAAGGCGGCCGCGGAAGATTGCCCAACGGCGGCGCGCCCAGCATGCCGTGAAGGGCTTCGCGTGCGGTGCGGGCGGCTACGGGCTCCTTGCGGGACCTCGTGCGGGGTCAACGGGCGCGCTGAGCCGCGACGATGCGCGATCCCTCGGGGATGGACAGACCCCCCTCGAGTAAAACGTGGTTTACGACCTAAGGCCCAACCCTGGCGGGCGCAAGCCTGGAAAATAACGGCCACGGCGCCCTCTCGAGAACCGAAAACGGACAATTCACTAATCGACGTGTCACTGTTGGGGGTTCTGTTCGCCCCCGAATGCCATCGCCGCATGGGTTCCGCGCGGGGCATCTGGGCAACGCCGCCCCTGCATCCAGAGAGTCGCGGCCGAGGCAGAAAACTCACCCCTGACGCGCGGGGTGCGGGAAGACGTCGGCGCGCAGAAAGACTGCTGAAGAACCAGGATGCGCTCGGACAGCGGATGGAGGAAAGATGTCCTGGGGCGCGTTTCGTCCGACGAAGAAACTGGGGTCCACAAGGAACTTTGCAGCTGCCATGGCGCCCTGGGCGCGCGCAAAAGCTCATCCAAAGGCTGCACATCCACGCCAGCCGCCAGAATGGAACAGAGCAGTCGGGCCGCCTGCTTGTAGTCACTCCGTAATTCAAGCTCGCCGAAGGCGCGGGTGCCCCAACGCACTGCGTTTGCGAAGCCGTATGCGCCGACAGCTATCTTCAGAACCCCCAAGCTCCCAAAACAAGCCGAGCCGGAAACAATAATGCAATCCAGGGCGTCGTGACGCAGCCGGACCAGCACGCAGACGCCACAGACGACACAGGGTGCGACCATGCAGCTTGCAGATACATGTCTTCGCAACTTCCACGGGTTCGGAAAACAACAAGAACACTTGATCTGCGCGACAGTGATGCAGACGCGGGGGCGCCCGTCGGCTGCTGCGCCGACGCGCGCAGGGGCGCGCTCCGAGATGACCTGGGGCACCTCGCCACGCCGCAAGCGGCAATGCAGGGCGACAACCCAGGGGTCGCCCAACATTGGAAAACCGAGACTGTCGCGCGACCGCGAGAGCTTTTGTCTCTCAAGCCGACCCCCCCGCACGCGCAATCTTCGGCGCGTCCGCCCGGCCCCCTCTGCACCTCGCCCCGCGCGCGATGCGTCCGCCAGCGGACCGAGTGGGCACCGTGGCCGTGAGAGCGCCCCTGCGCAGATGCGACGACCGGCGGCTCCATGACGCCGCGCTGCGACATAGCGAAAAACGCCTGCCCCATTTGCGCGGGGGGGGCGCGGCTGGCTTGCTCGCGCCGCCTGGCCGCGGGGACGAACGGCCAGTGCGGCGCCCGGAACGCTGGCCCCCAGCCCGCACCATTCCCGCCACGCCGCTCGCTCCGCCAGCGACGCCCGCCCCGCGCAGGAGCGCGCGGACTCCGCGAGCAGTTTCCTCCCCCGGGGCGCGCGCGGCCCGCCCCCGTGCTCCGCCCGCGAGATCATCGCCCTGGCAAAGGCATCGGGAGCAGGCGCTCTTACCGGCTTCGCGAGCGACTGAGCGGGGCCACTGGCCCAGTCGAAGCAAGGGGCGGCAGCGCGCTGGGCGGCGGCCCGGCAACTCACGCCCAAGGCGCGCCGCGCCATGGCGCGCACGCGCGCGCGCGAGCCGGCGCGCGGGCACGGGGGGCGCGCAGTCGCTGAGAACGCAACCTAGCGCCAAAGTGCGCGCGAAGAACCCGCGGTGACGCATCAACGATACTGATCAACTCTGCAGCTGGAAGTTCTGAATATCTCACCACTGCCGCCGGATCGAGCAGGGAAGAAAGTTCAAACACGTCCTTCGACATGATCAAATGACGCATCGGGTCGTCAAAATTTGATACTCGCCCAACGCGCATCCAGAAACATCTACCTACTCCTCCAGACAAGACGCCTCCATCGAAACTGCATCGAATGGAGGCCGCGCAATAACTGGAAATTGGTTCAAGTCCTGCTCTGTATACTCGGTTGAAATACTTCTGCCCTAGCGGGCTGAGTGCATTTGCCCGCTCGTTACACTCACGATAAACATGCGGCAACGACCCACATCTTGCGCATGCTGCTCTGACGCCGTCAACGTAGGCCACGCCACCCATCGGTTCCATGATTACACCAAACCTCGTCTGATAAAAGCGAAGTACATACGCGCCAGATCCCACATAGGCAAGAAACAATGAACATGGAATTGACAGTTATCTCAAGCGCAATGCCGTCAGAACGCACGTCCCTTCTGTGTTTTTCATGTTGTGGCTGGCCAGTCGCCGAGCAAGCTTGGCGCGGGCGGCAGGGGGGGCCCTCGAACGCGGTTTCTTCCAGCTCGGTCAATGGTTTACCCACCGCTACGGAATTCTCCCCCCCGCAGATGGCTGGGCCCCATGGTTGTCTCATGGGAAGAAGAGAGCATCGCGTCCGCGCAGACGCGTCTCGCGCGCCCCTCGAATACCGATGCGTCGGCGGAGAGACAGGGCCACCATCCGAGCGCCGAGAATTCCTCGAAACAAGACTGCCAAGTGCGTTGTCCCGTCGCCATCCCTCCCCGACGGAATCTGTATGTTTCCTGGGGCGCCGACGACCACTTGCTCTTTGGTGGATGCGCGGGTGTCGCTCTTATCGGGCCAGGGCAGATGATGGCTTTAGCCGTCGAGAAGAAGGAAAATAATCACAACAACAAAAAAAACGGCGACGAATTGGGCTCCACCCTGCGCCCGAGAGCACGGAGGCCCAAGGGGCGAGCGAGCTAACCCCACATCGCGAGAACAACGAGGTTAAACGTAACAAGTCCTTCGGGGCCACCTGCGCGAACGCACGCATCCCATTCCACATGGGGCATTTCGAAGACCCTCGCAAGCAACCGCGCCAACGCCGTCACGCCATGGGGCCGAGACAGCGAAATGTAAGTGTCGGGACAGCAGCGTGCATTAGCCCTATTCGAACAATCCTTCAGGCGCAAATGGTCGACCGCATGTTTGATGCCAGAACTGGCAAGGTTTGGCCTCGCCCCCACTGCGAGGCATGCAGAGCTAACTTGCGAAGGTTTCCTGTGGTTTCCAGTGCCCCCCTGCCCTCTTGAAGCTTACATAAACGCATGGAATTCACGAGGCCGCTGGGGTCGTGAAATCTTCCGATGAGAATCGCAACGCATGCAACATGCCATTTCTGCATGCATGATAATCTACTGTCACGCAGGTCAATCATAGCTGATATTTCCGCAATGCAACGAATGGGTTTTTCTCTCCACGACTGGACATTGCCGCGTGCATCGCATGATTCCTTCAGAGACCATGGG